AATGATGATGGTAATAATAATGTAAGTTTAAAGAATCTCTCTATTTAGTAATTTGTTTGTTTTCATTTAAGAAATTTGGCCTTAGATTATTATACCTTTTTCCTATTACAGAATAATAATAATAATAGTGATAATGATAATGGTGATGATAATGTAAGTTTAAAGAATTTCTCTGTTTAATAATTTGTTTATTTCATTTAAGAAATCAACCTTTTAACCTTTATATTATTTATCTTTTTTTCTATTACAGATTGTTGTTGATAATGATGATGCTGAAAATGTAAAGTTTAAAGAACCTCACTGTTTAGTATTGTTATTTTCATTTCAGAAATTTATTTTTATATTATTATATCTTTTTTCTATTGCAGGACATTGATGATGATGATAATAATAATGAAATTGTGATTGGTGACTAAATTAATTGGCATCAATTAGTTCTTTTTTATTTTTATTAATAGTGTTTTTTATTGTTATTAAAAATTAGGTCCTAATAAAAAAAGAAAAAATTTAGAAAGGGTCGAAGAAACTAAATATAATCTTCGTAGAGGTCCCAGGAAAGATTACAAAGATGGACCTTCAAAACGTTCACCAAAAAGGAGAAGGCGCCATTATGTAAGTATAAACTGAAGTGTTAATAATAGATATAATATTTTATTTAATTCTTTTTTACTTGTATCTATAGGAATCACCACAACCAGCATCTCATGCATCATCACCAGATGCATTACCATCACCAGATGAGGTATATTATATATATTTAATATTAAAATACAATTAATTATATCTTAAGATAAGTATCAATTTTATATATATATATATATATATAGGAATGTGCAAGATGCAGAATTCATTGCCCAAATTGAAAAATAAAAAAAAAGGTAACTATGGTGTAAATATACAAATTTATTATTATTTAACAGTAATTAATTTAGTTTAACAACTTTATGACTAATATGACATCCAATTAAACTAACTAGATAATTGAATAAATCAGAGATTTTATTATAAATTTTTGGTGCTAATTAACATTAATAAAATTATAATTTTTTAAAATCTTAGTTTCAACATTGCCAATTTCCATGTCTACACTAAATTTTAAAAGACAGCTCTTAGCCACTGGTGAAATCGATAACAATCTTCATTATGGTCCTTTTACTGAAAGTTGGTGGTATTTTTAAACACAAAAAATAATAAAATTACTAATAAACAAATATGTTTTCTGATACATATAAATATGAGAATTAGGGTCATATTAAGTGATGAAGAATTTATAATTAGAGTAACAGTACACAATACAAAAGAAAATAATCCAAAACCTGGTTATACATGTGAATCAGATTAGATTCGAAAATTTATGGATCTGCAAGTGAAATAGTTAATGAAACATACAAAAAAAATTTTAAAGGAGGTGCATGTTTTTCTGGTCCCAATGTTTTGGGCTTTGATGATGAAAAAATGGTTGAGCAACTGCAGGTAGATGTGTCCTTTTTTCCTTTTAAAATTGTGACTAATAATATTACAGTTTTTATAGCATCTATAGGTAGTGTCACCGATTAAATTTGGGAGAGCGTATTTTATTTGGTGATAACAATTATTTTTGTTTTTGTGTGGATCAGAATGAATAGGGATCAACGAATTGATTTTGGTATTAGCGAATAATTTTGGTTAAAGATAAAAGTTTTAAATAAAATATTTCTATTTTATTTATTTTAGTTTCATTTAGTCGAAACTAATTAACTTGTTAGAAAGTTATTAAACAAAGTTTTTCCTTAGTCGAAACTAATTAACTTATCACAAAGTTTTTAAACTAAGACAAAGTTATTAACAAGTTATTTTACAAGCAAGTCGAATTTGAGCTTCTTTTATACAATTAAATTAATTAGTAACAACTTCATTGCAATC